GGCGCAATCAACCTAGTTAATCACTAAAAATTAGAGTCCAGTAAAAATGGCCTAAGAAACTGTCTGTCCTGTGACAAGGAAGTGGCAATGGCTAGGGACAGTAGTTCTGGACTATTTGTACAGAATCTACATTATAGTACCAGTCGTACACCTTATTTTAAGAACCTGGATTTTCAAATTTCTTTATCTTCTGGAATTGTGACACTTTCTCAACCTTAGTTATGTATAAAGAAGTACAGATTCATTTCCAATGCCATCGCCCTCTATATTATTCACTAAAAGTACATTAGTTTGAAATTCATAAAGGGACTAGAGGGAGCAATTCTAAAATATTGCTGATATTTCCCCAAAAGTGTTTATTTTTATCCTTTCTATATTAAAAACTTTAGTCCTGATTATTTTACAGTACTGTTTTACATGTACATTTCATTATGAACATATTATTTAAAGTACAATTATAAAACATTACATCAAACTAATACTGTTCTTATTTTTGTGCGATTTTAGTTAAACAAAGCTTCTCCTAATCCATCTCCACATTGCTGCATTTAACTGAAAATTATTGTTCATATTAAGTAATCGGTCTTAATCTGTAACATTCAGCTATCTCATCATCATTTGTAGGACTTCTTAAACAAAGCAAAGTTAGAGATGCTAAATTACTAAAGGAGCTCTGGAAGCATCGTGCATTGAGCTGCTAACTAAAGGTCAGCAGGTCGAAGCCAACAGCTGTTCTGAGGGAGGAAGATGAAACTGTCTTCTCCTGAAAATATTTAAAGTCCTAAACACCCACAGGGAAGTTATATAAGGTCACACTGATTTGGAATCGACTCAGGATCAGTGAGGTTGTTTTTTTATTTAAATTTTAAAATGATCCTTAATACACATAAAGCTTACTTGAGGTGAAAATCCTACCCCTCACACTTTTTACATTGAAGAGAGCTTGAAACAAAATGCTGTAGAGTTAACATTCATTCATTCATGTTTCAAAGTAGTCCATCTCAATAATTTCTTATAATTACAGCTTTAGTGATATATTTCTATGGAAATTGTTATAAATTTAATATTCATTTATTTGCTTCATGTTTCAAAGTAGCTCATCTTCAATAATTTCTTATAGCTACCAGTTTTGTGGTGTTAATTTTATGAGGCACAATAACCACTAAACTTCAAAAGCACAAGTTATTTTGACAACAGAAAAGATATAATGTAAACTATGAATAAGGAAATAATATTTTATAAAAAGCAATAGAGACCAAGAAGTTCTGGGGGCAGGGAGTGGGAGGGGGGGTGCATTTAACAGCTGATTTTAAAGGAAGGCTAGAATTTGAACATATAAAGATGACAATGTGTGAGCTACATATAACCTACTCTCTGGGGGACGGGCAGCAGAAGGGTGGGTGAAGGGAGATGCCGGACAGTGTAATATAAGATA